ATAATCGGTGCATGCCTATATAAAAGAGAAGTTGGGTGACTTTCATTAAAAAAACTTTTATTAAAGCGTTCTTTTTTAATGAAAGTTTCGGGACTTTCATTAAAATGTCTCGTGCAAAATATCTGGAGCTCCTGACGGCACAAGAATTTCATTAAAATTTTAATAAACTTCATTTTAATGAAAACTTTTTTAATGAAACTCCGATATCCCCCATTTTTCACAGACTTTAGCTTTTTGGCTATAAAAGCAGTAAAAAGTTATGAATCCAGGATTTTAGTCTTATTATCTTACATCAATCGAATCATCGATCAAACAAGAAAAATGCTACCAGAGGCTGATATAGCAGATTTTCTGGAAAATTCAGTTCTCTATCGGTTGAGCTTAGAGCAAACTCTTTCAACTACTGGACAGTATCTTTTCATTAGGTTTACCAGCATATTGAGGGATGGTGGTAGGTGCCGGAATAACGCTAGTCTGAGGTGCCGGACACATTTGGGGCGATACGTGACCGGATGAGATATTCTAATTTAGTTGAAGAACTGAGGAGAGATGGGTAGAAAGATTTTCCGGTTTTGTGGACGGTAAATGAGTAGGGAGTGGAGAACCTGCGCGAATTGGAGAATGATCGCGTAGGTGCGAGTTAGAAGGCACCAGACGCCGCAGATCACGAAGATAACGCTCGAAATTTCGGGCAATAGTTTCTAAACGGTTTTGAGTATTCAAGGAAGTATCATCTAGTTTCAACTGTAAGACGTGAGCTGCATGCTGAAGAAGATCAATTCCAGTATCGATATGCTGGTTCGCACGGTCAATTTTTTCGTTTTGTTCCTGCATTCGAGAGTCTGCGAGTACCGTCTGAGAAAGATGATTATCATCTGAATGGACCTTCCGGATGAGGATAAGTTAGGAAAATCAGCCAGAATAACAAACAATGTGACTTACCAGACAACACACATCTTCACAATGTGAACCACCAGACAATATGAGCACGAGCAGAAAGATAGAAAGAAAAAATTAAGAGTTTTGCAGGAGTACGGAAGGTTCAGCAAGACGAGATTGCCAAGTGTGATACCTTATTTTCTCTCTGGTTATAAATCCTTGAGTGTTTATTGTGTGTGTACGCTTTAATACGTATTGAATGCATATTATACTTTTATTCGACCACACTTTCCCAACAAAATATAATCCACTCTACTAGAAAACAATTCGATTCCATATCTCTTCTACTACATGCCAAAAGATAAGAATAAAACGAAAAAGAAAAAGGAGAACAGAACTACCAAAGAGGAGAAGACAGAGTGCAAAAAAGTAAAATACATGTCTACGGAGATAAACTGTATATATTGAAAGTAAAGGTTGTGATCAATAATCGTCACACACACATCTTCACAATGTGAACCACCGACATCTAGCCACATTTAGCATATCAGAGAGATCAGTGTATTGATTGAAAAATGAGATGAAAGAGCTGAAGAAGGATCAGTCAGATTATGTCGTCCTCCTCGTCAGTTACCAACGTCATTATCATCATAAAACAAGAGCACGTTGAACGTATGAAAATTCAGTTAACAGAATATTAACAAGAAACGATTAGATTAACATTTCGTTTGTTATTGAAAGATAAAATTTATCCAACCATAGCGAATTTATTGTCAACGCTTTTTGCCCAAGAGGCAGACTTTTCTATACAGTCGGAAAGCTTGTTACAACTATAATTGAAATCTGTCAACCGACGCTTGAGTGACCTCGACATTAGACACTTTTCAATATGACTTTTTCCAATCAGAAAAATGGAATGATTGTTCAACAAGATAAGGATTAATAACAATGATGATCACCATATCTTAAGTGTTTAGAAATTAGTATATATACCACCCAGTCAAAAAAAAATATCAAGAGAAAATATCATGTTAGTTACCCATTTCTATTTTACTTTTTAACCTCATCCTCACTACGACAAATTACTACAAACGAAATTAATAAGTAGATGCCCAGTCAAAAAAAATATAATGAGGAGGAGTATCATGGAGTACCTTTTTTGGAAAAAAGAAAGGAGCACTCTTTTTCCCAAAAAGAATGCTCCAACTCAAAAGGAGTACTCCAAAAGCTACAACAGAGTACGCACAAAAAATGAGTATTCCTGAGTGCTGCTTTTTTTGAAGTGCTCCTCAGTACCTCAGCCGCACTTTATAAAAAGGAGTGCTCCGAAGCACTCCAACAAAGAAGTACTCATGAGTACGCCTAATAAGTGATAATTCTATAAGCCTTATTCGAAGTACTCATGAGGACTTCATTTTTGGACTGCTTGCGCCTGAGGTACTGCGGAGCACTTCAAAAAAAGCACTCAGGAGTATTCATTTTTTGTGCGTACTTCGTTGGCTTTTGGAGTACTCCTTTTGAGTTGGAGCATTCTTTTTGGGAAAAAGAGTGCTCCTTTCTTTTTTCCAAAAAAGGTACTCCATGATACTCCTCCTCATTATATTTTTTTTGACTGGGCATCTACTTATTAATTTCGTTTGTAGTAATTTGTCGTAGTGAGGATGAGGTTAAAAAGTAAAATAGAAATGGGTAACTAACACTCGAGCCGAGAGTTAGACGTGAAAGATTAGTCACTGGAATATTACTAGATAAGGACGTCTTGGCATGGTTCAAAAATGCTCTCTAATCTTCCCATAGACAAAATCTGATTGAGTTTGGAAAAAGAAGGATATAAAAACAAATGTTGGAACCGATGTCGGTAAACACAAGGAATAGCAGTTTTGAAAATGTATACATAAAATAAGTTAGGCTCTCACAGACGAAGTAAAATAATGTTAGGACGAAGCTAACAACAACAATGGAACCACTAGAGGAAGAATCATAAAAAACCTGCTAGTCCAAAACTGCAAAAATTGGCCAGTCTTTCAGCTATAAGTGATCGGCTTTTTGGTCGCTCAGATGTCGGTTAATCTTGAAATCGCTTGGATTTAAATATCGTCAAGCATCGGAGGCTAATGTGTTGAACTCTACTGTACAGTGGACCTCAATTGATTTGCACCCCTAGCCATTTTTGACGTTACTCTACTATAGTTTGGTTCCTATGAGAGAGCAATATACAGAAAGAAAGAGCAGCTTCGACCGCATCAGATGGTATATAACACCGGTATATCCGATCAACATTGGACGCTGGACAGAGAATGGAGCAAAAAGATGGTGTTTTTTTCACTACATTTCGCAATTCATCCGAGTTATATGAAAAGAAATAACTTGTTTATCCATCGGGTTGGTCATAGAAAAATATCAACTCCGTGTATACTAGCTCATTGATGATGAGTGCCTCCGATCTAGTCGCTCAAAAATGAATTTAATGTAGATTTAGAACAGAAGAGTGGTCAATGATGGTTGAGATCATTCAATCGTTCTGCGAGACGGATATTTGTGTAGGATAAGTATTCGGGCAGTGTAGAGAAACACGACAGAGAAAGAAAAAATGAATCCACTAAGCAGAGCGAATTCAATATTTCATTCAACTTCCTTTTGGTGATATGACAATTCGTCAACTTTCTGCTCTAGGTCATTTTCACATTTCGATTGCTAGAGCGCCATCACCGTGCTTTATGTGTTACCCATGGAATAAATTTTTTTGAAGATAAACTTCAGCAGAGGCAACTAACGCAAAGGTTTTCTCATGCGTTTGAATGTTTAGAGAGAAATCAGAACGAGTATAACGTTAGATACAGTCTAACTGTGGAGTGTAGTGAAAAAAACATCATCTTTTTTCTCCATTCTCTGTCCAGCGTCCAATGTTGATCGGATATACCGGTGTTATATACCATTCGATGCGGTCGAAGCTGCTCTTTCTTTCTGTATATTTCTCTCTCATAGGGGCCAAACTATAGTAGAGTAACGTCAAAAATGGCTAGGGGTGCAAATCAATTGAGGTCCACTGTATTTCCCAAGCAAAACTAAGTAAGTGAGAAAATCTAGCTGCAGAAGTAGCTGCAGCGCCCACTTACAGCTAGATTAACTAGATTAAAAGTTACATTTATCTAGCTGCATGCTGGTTGAAATTGTGTACTAGTTGAAACGGCCACTGCATGGGCCAATTAATCGCGCAATGAATTGCCCGATTAATCGATAGCAACTAGTTGTACCCAATTGAAACTAGCTTCAATCTAGCTGAAGCTAGATAAAATTTCATGTATTTCTGTGCAGCTAGCTGAAGCTAGATAAATGTACCTTATAATCTAGATGCAGCGCCGGCTTCATGATTTTTTTTCGTGCTTGGGTTCGAGCTCAACGCGTTGTTTACGTCAGAAAGCTTGATGAATTACGATCAAGCAACACTGTATTAAATTAACAGGACAAGATCTGACTGGAGGAAAATGAAGAATAAAACAGTTGTGTGGTTCTCCGATCAAGAGCATGGTCGTCTGGAGGTGAAGGTAGCATTCCGAGCCGAAAATAACGGGAGGGTGTGAGAGAGTATAGCTGATGGTAGTTGGTTAGAGCACTAACCAAGGAAACTATACAAACAACAAGAAACAGAAAACATATGGGTATTAGTTTTATTATTCCATAAAAAAGAGAGTTCGAACTTCTAAACAAATAATATACCACTTGAATTCCCTAAGGTTAATCAGCAGCATAAGCTCATCATTATGATTCTGTGACAAGTCATGAAGAGAATCGAGACGTTCCGCTAGACTATCAGTCAAGAGAAGAAAAAGTATAACATACATGAAGGAAAAAACTTATAGAGTTTCAAAAAAGCGCTGAAAAAAATCCACGGAGACGAATCGCCGATACTATGAAAATTGGCTCATCAAGGCTCACAATATCAAACTTTTGTTTGTCTCAAAGATGTACGAAGCTCAGTGAACATTCGAGCATTTTTTCAAACTGTGTTTTCATGGCTTCAAAACTTGACTGATTTTCCTATTTACTTTTTAGGTTATGACGTTATTTTGAGTAGGTAAAAACGAATCTAGTACCAGACATATGGACATAAGTAACAAATCTTAAGGATACGATTGATTATTAGCATATGTGATTGTTGGATTTGCCGATGTATCTTTTGTTGCTATTTTATTACGTATCATTTTACCAAGACCTCTTCGTTTAAAGGTTATCAATGTAACAATACCAAACACAATATATGTTGATACAATAAGACCAAATGCTGCGTGGTACAAATTCGTCTGACAATATGTTGCCGGGATAGATGGATTGTATTGTACTTTTGGTTTAATGCTAAATACCCATACGTTACCAGTTATAAACCATGCGAAAAAAAACAGAAAACATATTAATTGTATAATGAGATTGATTAACATTAACCTTATTGCTAGTACTTCGTTATATTGTCGAAGAAATTTAGCAACAAGGAATGCTAATATACCAATAAACACCCAAAAGATTTTGAGTGAACCATGTACCAGTAAAAATATTGGAATGTTTTGGTTTATTGGACACTGATGCTTATACTTTGAACCATAATGTAATTCTATAATCGAAAAAGCGAGTGCAAGTGCCATATTAATTAGATGCATGCGTGATGAAAAATATGCGAATGCTTTATCAAGTCGCTTTGATTGCGTTGATTGGTATTGCTGTTGATTGGTATTGTCAAAAGGTATTGGTGGTTCAGTATAATAAGCAGGAACGAATTGCGGTTGTTCTTCAAATTGAGTTACTGAGGCCGGTGGGAACATTTTTGGCTGTGATATTTATTAAAGTGAATTCTCTAAATGGTATGTATAGTACTGGTTAAAATTATAGGTTCACCTTTATTTTTAATTTTTCTCCTCGACCATAATAGCTAGAATAAATTTGAAAAAAAGATTTAAATAACTAAAAGAGTTTATAATCAGATGAGATGCATATGAAAATCTCAATAAAATTTCTGCAAGCCAGGTCTGTGAAAAACCAAGATTTTAGAAAATCTCAAAAAATCAACGAAACCTTTTTGTAAATAGCCCATTCGTATGGAGCAAACATTTCTGAACAAAACTAGACGTTGCTGAACTCTCTATGACATTTTCATCAAACTGCATTTAATTTACGAGAGGTCCCTCGGTCATTTTTGCTCTTTTCTAGCACTTTTGCTGATTGTGACGTGGAGGGACCGCTCGTAAATTAAATGCAGTTCGATGTAAAAACATCGTAGAGAGTTCGACGACCTCTAGTTTTGTTCAGAAATGTTTGCTCCATACGAATGGGCTATTTACAAAAAGTTTTCGTTGAAGTCGTGGAACTTGATTTTTTTGAGAT